CATGTCACCATATTCTAATTTATTGAGATAGTGAATTGGTGGGTTTTTGTTAAATGTGGGCCAAAATCATCACAATTAAAAGACGCAATGGCTTAAACTACTTCAGTCTGTGTGTACTTAATTTATATAATACACGAGTTTCACTATTTGAGTTGAATTACTGAAATAAATGGACTTTTCCACGATATTCTAATTTATTGAGATAGTGAATTGGTGGGTTTTTATTAAATGTGGGCCAAAATCATCACAATTAAAAGACCCAACGGCTTAAACTACTTCATTCTGTGTGGACTGAATTTATATAATACACGAGTTTCACTATTTGAATTACTGAAATAAATGGACTTTTCCACGATATTCCAATTTATTGAGATGCACCTATATTATGAACCCTTGAAAAAATTAATCCACCCTCACTTAGTTAAAGTATGTAGGCTAATAGCCTGTCTTGCATTGTTCCACTAGCCTGTTACTACCCAGGTAAACTAGTTAGCTAGTTTGCTATCTTCCAAGACGAATGTCACTGAATAGAGAACAAAAGCATCTTCTATGATTTAGCCTTTATCCAACGTTGCATTAAAAATGGACCTGCTGCTGTTTAAATAGTCTAACATTTCAAGCCAATTCCTATTTTTCATTCGATGGTTCTCTTGGGAAATTTCCAACTCAAATAATTTGCACAGAACGGTTTTATTTAGTTTAATTTCACTTGTACTATAAAGATGGGTGGTCTCCTTCCAAAGCAGATTTAACAGCAGAAATCCTATGCAACCCCAGCTCTGAATCTACACAAATATTCCCATGCATCTCAAACATTAAACAAAATTCTGCTGATTGTATTGTCACTAACTCCAGAAATGTATTTTACTGGCATATGTCTAATGACAGCTGACACCATGATCGATGCTGGCCAGCACTATTGGGAGGTGCGGTTTGACAAGGAGAGCAAGGCCTTTGCTGTGGGTGTGGCCCTGCGGAGCCTTGGCCGATTTGACCAGCTGGGAAAAAGCAACGCTTCTTGGTGCATCCATCTGAACAACTGGCTGCAGCAGAGCCTCTCGGCCAAACACAACAACAAGGCCCGAACACTGGAGTGTCCAATACCAAACAGCATAGGAGTCTACATCAACCATGATGAAGGTACGAGAAATAAACACATGGAGTTGGTGTATGATCCTGGATAGGATCACTGTTGCTCTGAAACTGAATGCTTGCTAATGTGAATTTCACCTCCACAAAAGAAAACACTGCATGTATTCACTAGTAACTTTGCTCAGTACTTCAGTATTGAGGTTGTCTTACTGTGTATTTAGTGCCACTTGTCTATTTAGTGACAAAAACATATTTTATCACTGAAACAGTTGGCAGAAAAATAATCAACAGTTTTGACACTGACTTTGCTTCGCAGTCTGTTGTTCTCACTTCTCATCTATCCATCCATTATCCATAACACTTATCCTAACGAGGGTTGCGTTGGGGGCTGGAGCCAATCCAAGTTGACATTGGGCGAGAGGCAGGGTACACCCTGGACAGGTCACCAGTCTGTCACAGGGCTGACTCATGGAGACAAACAACCACACACACCCACACACACACTCCTACAGGCAGTTTAGAGTCACCAGTCAACCTAAGCCGCATGTCTTTGGACTGTGGGAGGAAGTCTGACCATCCAGTGAGAACCCGCACAGGGAGAACAGGGCCACCTCTTAATTGCGTCTCAATTTTATTTATTTACTTATATTAAACTCTTCATTTAACAAATTCAGTCATGTTAGAAACCTTGTATGTAAGAGAGGCTCGGTAAGATGACAGCATAAGAAGTCACAGGCAAAACAACACTAAATTAGGCAACAGATACTAAAAGAGATGGTTGCCATTTTCTGTTTTGTATCACTGTATATAGAGGAGTTAAAAGGCAGCACTCTGCATGCTTGTGAAAGCCATTTTTCACTATTGCCTAAAGGTTTATAGACAAACATCTAATCAGTTATTTAAAGAAAAACAGATTAATCAAAAAAGTGTAAAAGATTTTGTCGGCCTTTTTTCTTATGAGGAATTTGCAGTATGTATTCACCTCTTTCACTCTCTCCAGGTGTTCTGTCTTTCTACAATGCCAAAACAAAGCAGCTGATGCATACCTTCAAAACTAAGTTCCAGCAACCAGTTATACCAGCTTTCATGGTGAGGAACATCTGCCATATCTCTTATTTACTGTAATGATTTGTTGATATATGACCATTTGGGATTTAAAGTGGCTGTAAATGTGCTGCAACCTGCAGGTGTGGAATGGAAGTTTCTCTGTAGTGACAGGCCTGCAGGTTCCCAGCGTGGTCCAAAGCAGCCAGAGGAAGAACAGCGGCACCAGCAGCTCCAATGCCAGCCTCACCTAGCTCCACCCGCTCAGCCAGCCCTGTTTGGCTGCAGCCCAGCCCCCTGCCCTGGCTGCTGTCATGCAAGAGTCGTATCACTGGAGTATGATGGTTTAGCCTGTTCCCCATGTCCATGTTGCATCACAACAAAAATTGTTTTGGGAACTTGTAAGTCATCTGCGCTGTTTCAGTGACATGTCTGTGCAAATTCTCAGTCATACAGGTCATAGTAAACTGAAAAAAATCATCTGGACTTGGTTTTAGGTTTCTGCCTAAAACCAAGTCCAGATGATTTTTTTCTATGCTTTTTTTTCTGTTTCAGTGACAGACTTCTTCAGAAGTATCTCTGGTTGTTGTGATCACTAGGGACATGTCAGTCCGTCTTACTAGTTTTCCACTCTGCACATTCATTTAGCTCTGTCCCACTGCTGCTAGAGCCAAGACTTAGTGCTGGTCGCTGCTCTTCCTGCCCTCCTCCCACCACCAAAATTGCCAGGCGTACTGTCATGCAGCCAGGTGCAGGGTCCAGCCGTGTCCTGTCTGCTCTTT